TAATCACCAAATAGACAAGTGGTATTACATCAAACTAAAAAACTTCCTCATAGCAACGGAATAAATGATTAGAGGGAAAAGACAACCCTTGGAATGAGAGAAAATATTTGCAAATTCTTCAGGCAAGGGATTGATATCAGGAAGATACAGGGAACTCAATCAGCTCATTCATAAAATATATGAATAATTCAACTTAAAAATGGGCAAATGAATAGACTAGAAACTCTGCAAAGCAAAGAACATTTACAAATGGTCAACAGGTATATGAAAAAATGTTCAAAGTCTCTTTTCATAAGAAAATACAAATCAAAACTATAATGAAATACCATTTCATCCCAGTTCAAATGGATAGGAACCAAACAACAAAGAACAAGCGCTGATGAGGCTGTGGTGAAAAGGAATGTAAATTAGCACCATCTCTGAGAAAACAATCTCTGAGAAAAACAAACTTGGAGAAAAACAACAAATAGAACTATCATATGACCCAGTAATTCCACTCTTTGGTATGTACACAAAGGATAGAAAAATCCTCAACTGGAAAGACACTTGCATATCCATATTTATTGCAGGATTACTGACAATGGCTAAAACATGGAACCAAACTAAGGATCCAAAAATAGATGATAGGATGGAAATACTGTGGCACATATGTACTATGGAATATTACTCAGATATAGGAAATAATGAGACTGCATTTGTTGATTCAAAATGGATGAATATAGAAGACTTACTGTTGAGGGAAGAGTGTCTTTGAAAGATAGACATTGTATATACCCACTCAGTTAGTATTGAGTGCCCGTACTCTATGGCAGAAGTTGAGAAGTGACCGTGGAAAGTACAGGTATAGATGTTAATAATTGAAAGAGGGGAGAGTAGATAATAGATAGTGGGTAGTCGAGGGTAGATGTGGGGTGCAAGGGGAGAAAACATTTGACAGAGGAAAAAATTAAAATTCTCTGTTGAAAAATGTATATAATATATATCATGATGGGGATTTTTATGTAAAATGTGAAATTAATCTGAACATAATGTATAAGTACGTAATGTAGTGCCTGCATTGAAAAAGGTGCTAAACATGTACTATACTTTTCTCCTGTTCAAGTTCTGGCAGATTTTATACACATTTTCTCGTTTTTACTGTAATATCTCTTTTCACGTCTATGTTACTAATACAGTTGATTGTTATTTGTAAATTCCATGTTTGGCTAAATATGGAATTTAGCCAAATAGACCTCCCAAGCATCCTTTTTATAGTCTGTTTAGTACCATGTTTTACACACTGTATTTCTGTTAGTGATTTTCTTGTTTAAAATCACTCCCCACTTTGGCCCCTAAGCAAAGTGCTGATGTGCTGTCTTGTGTTCCTTAGTTCAGGAAGGCTATGATGGGTCATATGGAAAAAATATGTGTTAGATAAGCTTCTCTCAAGCATTATTTATAGTCTTGTTGCCCACGAGATCGGGGTTGTAAATCAATATGTATTAAATTAGATGTCTTTAAACATAAACACATGTGAAACAAGGTTACAAATTAATTGGTTGGTAAAAATGTTTTGACCAGAGGCTCATAGGACCCTAACATTATATTATTCCTAAGAACAATGGTGTCATATTTGCCAATTCAGTGCTTTTGGTGACATTATTGAACAAAACAAAATACAGTGAGAGTTGTCTATGCCACCTTAATAATTAACTTTTAGAAATCAACCTCCTTTTTGGAATTCGATAGGACCAGCAGTTAGCGTAATGGCTATGTCGCTGGATTCCCATGTAGTCAACCGTGGTTCGCGTCCCAGACCCGGTGCGTGTGGGGGTGTGTGTGTGCCCAAGATCCCAAGAGGAGAATGGAGGAGAAGGAATTGAGGCGTGGCCATCCTCCCTGGGGGGCGATTTCTCACTTTCTATATCTCTTTTTCTCTCTGTCTGGCGAGTGCACGTGCCCTATAGCAAAATCCTCTCCAAAAGAAAAAAAAAAGAAAAGAAATCAACCTCTTTTTGAAATTTATATTGTAATATAGAGATAATAGGGACCAATTGGTTTACGTGGTCTTTTAAACCTCCAAGCATTTTTTGACATCAGGAGATTGAATGATAGGATATTTCAAGGCAAATTTCCTGAAATAAGATTTGATCAAACTTTATATGATGTAACTTAATTCTACCTACCCCCACTACCTTTACCCTTAACTATCCACAATCTCTAGCATTCAGTGAACCATCACTTGCAGAGACAAGGTAAATATTCAGGGTTTCCCTGTGAAATGTGTCTGTCTGGAAGGATCTCATCAGATGCTCAGTTTGGCTCTATTATGCAGCAGTCCGTCATTACAAAAAAGACTATCCTTAACCTTAAGTGACTCTAATGTTATCTTCTCATCATGAAATATGACCTAGCAAGCTGGCATAGAAGGAATTCCTTAGATAAAAGAACAATAATGCCCCAAATGAATAGAAATGCTATCCAAGGAAGGAGAGTCATACACGCATTAACACAGAGTGAGCTTAGATCAAAATAATTTAATACGCATATTTAGTAAAGCCTAATAAATTCCACTGAAATTCACATTTTAAAATTTCTGTAATGCCAAGGGGTGGGAAGTGGAAAGACCAAAAAGAAAATAAACCTCTTCCTCTAAACTTATATTCTTACCTCCCCTTCTCTAAGCCCTCTACACTATACTTTTTATAATCTGTTGTAGGTATGGACTGTAATTTAAATTATGAAAAGTTAAAAACAATTGGTATCTGATGTGAATAAAGACACATACACGTTCACACATCAAAGGACCATATATTTACAGGAAAGAAATTTAAGCTAGAAGTAAAGGTCTAGGTTTTAACTATCTGTAGAGAGCAAACTTCTGCCTCTTAGGACACATACAGATGGAATAAAAAACCCTATCCCTGTTACTTTAACCTGCTATAGGTATGCAGGCAACTAGGGGTTGATTGCTTTATTATCATGGACTTCCAACTGAACACATCTCGTGAAAGAAACAAATATAGTATCAGATCAGGAACTAAACAGAAATCTTCTAATACATACCATTTTTGAAAGACATTTAAAACCCTTTAGATTCACATGTAGAGAAGAGCCAGCAACCTCAACTACAAATATTGTAGACAAATATTTAATAGTTATGCGCAGTTATGTCTCTGGTTGTGTTGGTGGCTTGTTTTGCTAAAATGGTAACACGCAGCAACTCTCTCTAAAGATGGATGTTAACCTAGAAATCAAATACTGCCCTAAGTTATTTACAAATGTGGTGAACAGTCTGTTTTCATTCATAATGTCATTAATATATTTGTATAATTTGTAGGCCAAGTGCTCATATGGTGGATTGATTTGGAAAAAAGAGCTTTTTGAGACAGATAAAATGTTGACAAAGGTGGTCACATTTATCTCTTTCTAGCTATAGTAGTAGATTCAAGGTTTAATACTTGCAGTGAAATATGTAAATGTACAGACTACAATGTGAAGGACAAAAATCACACCAAAAAAAAAAAAAAATGATATCTTTCTCCTACAACCACTAAGTGAAGGCAATCTCAGATTTAATAGTTATTCCAAAAAGAATGGAAGAATAAACCTTCATCATAAAGCAACACTGTAGGAAACAGGAGAAGGTTTGCAATTTCACTTCAAAGAAAATACATTGGTACTACTTTGCCAAATATGCAATCACGTTTAATTGAAGCTATTATTGCAGTGAGAAGAAATAACAATTCGACTTCTAGGAAGTTTTAATTGACAGTATTATAATATTTGTGCAATGTATATCCACTATGGGAGTAAAAGAAGTGTTTATAATTGCATACTGAAAAAATGAAAGTATCGACATAAGTTCTGTAAATCCTGGTAATAATAATATAACTTAATACAGCTAAGTAAAGAAAATTATTCTTCACTAGATTCATATAACCTAGAGAAAAATAATTTTCATTGAAATGTAACCTATTTATCTCTTTTCCTAACCTGTTTTTTGCACTTTTCCTCATTTGCTCTGTTTTTCACTATTTCATCATCTCTAGCTATTAAGCACAAAAATTCAAAGATATTTTTGCATTATTCATTATGGTCTTATGTTTGAAATTGTCATCTTCTCATGGGTGCTATGATCCTTAGGAAGATGGCCTTTAAAAAGAAGCAGGGCTTTAAGGATAGTGCTAAATCTCTTGTAGATCAAGTAACTCCAGCCAACAATTTAATATCATTTTCAACCATTGCTATGAAGAGGTGAAAGGTGTTATTTCACTTTGTTCTCAGCAATAGGCAATTTGACACGTATAAATTTTTCTCCATCAGAATCATTACTCAGTAAGTATCAATCAAGTGTTGCACTATGGTGGAAACTTAGGAAAATACAAAAGTAATATATGCAGAACCTGAGGACATCTAGCAGAAAAAGATGGACTTGACATGTTTATATAGCTTACACTACAAAGTGAGAAATATCCCATACCTCATACAGTAAACGGAGAGAGATGAATTTCAATGGACAGGATCAATATTAAGTCCATACAGAGACTGTAGTAAGAGAGAAATTTTCCATCTAAGTTAAGAATAGTATGCCACAGGGGGTGGCAGTGGGAAGCAAAAATTATTCAGGAAACATTCATCTAATTTGATCAAAGTATATTCTAGTTGAAATGGAGCAGAAAGTTAAGGATGAAAAAATATGTAGGATTTGGTGGAATAATTTGAACTTTGTTTTATAGGCATGACAAATCAAAGAAAATTTTGAACAAGAAAGCAGTATATTGAAAGTTGTACTAAGTATAAAGTAGACTGAATAATGAATGGAATTGATGGTAGGAGAGTTAGGAGGCTATTCTAGTAAGGCACAGAGGAAAGAATAAACTCCTGAACTATGTCATGTTTGATTTCTCCCTCATACAAACTTTAGGAATTCCTTAATTTTATGAAGAACATGTACACACAGTAAGATGGAGCCTTTTCTCTCTCTGACAGATGATAACTGTACTTTTTTTTTATTTCAGATTTTTCATTATTCATACACTGCTTCGTATGTGATTTACAACATACACACTAGGTAAGTTCTTTTATTTTCTGATTTCCATAAGCAATTGTCCAACTAAATTGTTGGTGTAAATGACAATTTGTTCATGTAAAAATATTTACATCTTTTTCAAGGGAAGTTTGGGAGTTAAATCCTCCAGAAGTTGAGGATTCCGTCTTGCAGTATGCAGCCTGGGGTGTCCAAGGGCAACAGCTGGTAAGCATCGGTGTTAATATGAACCAAATATTGTCAATCTCAGCCCTGTGAAAAATGTTTGCAGAAGTCATTTCCTTGTAATAATTGTCCTATTACACTTGATATTTTTTCTTAAGTTATTTTTGATCTTTTATGTAGATTCTAACTTAAAAATACATGAAACGACCCAAGTACAGGTGGAGCACCCTAATCTAAGCAACCAAAATCCTAAATAACTCAAATTTTGAATATCTTTGGGTGCTGGCATGTCACAACAAGTGGAAAATTCCACATATGAAGTGGAATCATGTGATGAGTCTCAGCCAAAATGCTATAATACAAAAATCTTGTATAAAATTACTGAGATTATTTTTATAATGCATATATAAAGCAAAACAATTTTAGATGAGGTTTTCATTACAAAGATACCTTATTATGTATATATAAATTTTCTGAAGTATGAAAATATCCAAAATCTAAAATATTTCTTGTCACAAGCACTTTGAATAAGAAATACTCAACTTGTATTATTTTATTAATTAATTTTAAAAGAAAAAGGTTATTTTAACGCAATATATAATTAAACTGGTAATTAAATAAAACTGGAAGAGATAGATCCAAAGGCCTTGTCCTGTGCAGTTTCCATCACATGATGTTGTTAATTTTCATGAAAAACTTAAAAAGATCATTTATTCTTAAAATTGATTTTCTACCCTATTTTAAACAGAATTATATGTATAGTAGTCTATCAAGACTTTTTGTCAATTATATTTTGAGATGATCACAAGCTCAAAAAGGTAATTATTATTGATGCATAGAAACAGTTTAAGCGATATTATCTTATTGTACATGAGACATTCATGTTGAATCTTTTTCATGGGAATGATGCTCAGGGAGTCATATTGCTTACATGGCATGTGCATACTTAAATGTACTAAGCATCATGAAATTAACTTCTAAATTAGTAAGTGTTTACACACCTACCAGCAATAATAAGAGCGTTCCTTTTGTTTCATATCCTTAGCAACAGCTACTTTGCCTGGTAGGGTTTTTTGCCTTAGGGTATGTGCGCTCACCAGAGAGACAGAGAGACTCAGAGAGAGGGAAAGTAAGAAATCACTCCCCAGGGAGGATGACCATGCCACAATTCCTTAACCTCCATTTTTCTCCTTGGCTCTTGGGCATGCATGCACACATGCCCAACTTGAGTTTCAACCCACCAGGTCTGGGACTTGAACTGCAGTCAGTCATGAGGAAGTTCAATGATGTAACCACTATGCAATCTGCTGGCCCCAGTAACACCTACTTTATATCTGGACTTTTAAATCATCATTCATGTGATGATTGACGTGAAATGATATTTTCTTATAGCTTTATTTCTTATTTATTTTAAAAATTATTTTAATTATTTTTAAATTTTGCTGTAGGGCATATGTGCTCACCAGAGAATAACACAGTGAGAGAAATCAAGCTGCCAAGTCTAGGAATTGAACCACAGTTGGCTATGTGGAAGTCCAGCACTTTAACCACCGTTCAACCTACAGGCCCCTCTTATAGCTTTATTAGCATTTATTACTTCTTTGATCCGTAATGAACGAGGGCAACTTTTCATGTAGTTATTGGCTCTTCATGTTCTCTCATATGTGAAATACCTATGAATATATTTTTCCTATTTGTCTGTTTTTAATGCAAACAATTTTTCCTATATTCTGGATATTAATACATTATTGAATCTATATTTACCCAGTTTTTGGCTTTACTTTTCTTTCTTTGCTACTTTCACTGCATGTATAGTAGTCTATCAAGACTTTTTGTCAATTATATTTTGAGATGATCACAAGCTCAAAAAGGTAATTATTATTGATGCATAGAAACAGTTTAAGCGATATTATCTTATTGTACATGAGACATTCATGTTGAATCTTTTTCATGGGAATGATGCTCAGGGAGTCATATTGCTTACATGGCATGTGCATACTTAAATGTACTAAGCATCATGAAATTAACTTCTAAATTAGTAAGTGTTTACACACCTACCAGCAATAATAAGAGCGTTCCTTTTGTTTCATATCCTTAGCAACAGCTACTTTGCCTGGTAGGGTTTTTTGCCTTAGGGTATGTGCGCTCACCAGAGAGACAGAGAGACTCAGAGAGAGGGAAAGTAAGAAATCACTCCCCAGGGAGGATGACCATGCCACAATTCCTTAACCTCCATTTTTCTCCTTGGCTCTTGGGCATGCATGCACACATGCCCAACTTGAGTTTCAACCCACCAGGTCTGGGACTTGAACTGCAGTCAGTCATGAGGAAGTTCAATGATGTAACCACTATGCAATCTGCTGGCCCCAGTAACACCTACTTTATATCTGGACTTTTAAATCATCATTCATGTGATGATTGACGTGAAATGATATTTTCTTATAGCTTTATTTCTTATTTATTTTAAAAATTATTTTAATTATTTTTAAATTTTGCTGTAGGGCATATGTGCTCACCAGAGAATAACACAGTGAGAGAAATCAAGCTGCCAAGTCTAGGAATTGAACCACAGTTGGCTATGTGGAAGTCCAGCACTTTAACCACCGTTCAACCTACAGGCCCCTCTTATAGCTTTATTAGCATTTATTACTTCTTTGATCCGTAATGAACGAGGGCAACTTTTCATGTAGTTATTGGCTCTTCATGTTCTCTCATATGTGAAATACCTATGAATATATTTTTCCTATTTGTCTGTTTTTAATGCAAACAATTTTTCCTATATTCTGGATATTAATACATTATTGAATCTATATTTACCCAGTTTTTGGCTTTACTTTTCTTTCTTTGCTACTTTCACTGCTACCAAAATAATTTTAAATAAATGTATTCTGATTTATTAAATATGCAGCTTATCCTTTTTTGTTATTTGACATATCTTTTTGATGGAATCTACATTTTGGTTTCAGTCATATTCTTTTAGAATTTTTCAAGTGGATGGACCTCCATATTTAAGTTCTCAATCTATCTGAAATTGCTTTGTGCTTACAGTGTTAAATCACTCTCCATATTTATACATGTTCCATTTGGCCAAGAATAGTCTTGACACTTTCAATTGATCAAACCATCCTTGAACTACTCAACCACAGTGTCATGTTCCATATATGTGTGTATCTTCTAAATATCTAAAGTCCCAAGAAAATAGTGTCTTAATTAATAAAAGTCTAAATGTCTTATAAGGCAGTTTCATATGTTTCTTTTTTTTTTTTGGTGGGGGGGGAGAGGTTTTTTTGCTATAGCGCGCGTGTGCTAGCCAGCCAGACAGACAGAGACAGAGAGACAAAAAGCAAGAAAGAAATCACTCCCCAGGGGCAATGGCCACACCGCAATCCCTTCTCCTCCGTTCTCCTCTAGGGATCTTGGGCACGCATGTGCATGTGCCCAGCATGAGTTTTGAGCCACCGGGTCCAGGACGCGAACTGTGATTGACTACATGGGAGTCCAGCGACATAGCCATTACGCTAACTGCTGGTCTCCATATGCTTCATTTTTTATTTGCAGATGGGCTTTTTCTCTCATATGGCTGTCACTTGTATGACTGTCTGAATTGGCTTTTACATTACATGTGCACTTTGGACATTTTGAATGACATTACCTTGAATCTGTATGTCAATTCTAGAAAACATCTCAGTGATTCTGAATCTTTATTATTTGAGACATCATTAATCTCAATCAAGATTCATAAACATTTTGCACATGCAGAAATTACTTTCATTGTGTCTTAGTGGTTGTACACCTGAAGCATATAAACTAAGTGTTAAATGTAATAGTGAAATAGTAAAAAAAAATCTTTATGGCAGAAATTAAAAGATCTAAAGATATAATAGTAAGAATAACAAGTGTAAATACAAGGGATTGTATGGGAGTAGAGTGAATAGAAGTGGGTAAGTGGCAGGGCTCAGATAAGAAACACTTAACAGACACAAGAATGAAAAGTTCTCTTTTGAAAATGATGTATATGGTAATATTGGTTTGATTGTCATGTACTTCATGCCCAACTTGAAAAACGATATTGTGCACTATAAAGATATACAATGATTGAATGTAGGTAAATCATAAAATTTAAGAAAAAGCAACAGTAGTTACAGCAACAAAAATATTACATATAATAGAGGAAAGAATCCATGCTAACATAAATCATATTATCCTTGATTTAAATTTTCCACAGAAAACAGGGTGTTACAGATTTAGACAAAAAGACATAAAGGAAAGAAAGGTTTGCCTAATATATTGAGAAATGCATACACAGATTTGCCATACATTAGACATGAAGCTGCTTAAACATCTTTATGATCATATTTCAGGAAGAAATTCTACTAAGCACCCTCTATTTATTATCATTTCCACATAAAATAGCTGAATAAATAATTATGCAGAAAACAAGCCAGTGGTTTAAAATTAAAAATTAATGCAATGGTCCAGCTACCATAAATTATAGATGGTATGTTTGCCTTTATTATGCATGTACTTAAAGAAATTTAAAAATCATATATTTAATCTACCTTTAGAAGACCCTCTAGATACATTCACTTAGGACTTTCCAGAAAAGTAGCTTCATGGCTTCAGTCATAAAATGACTTTAACTTTAAAAAAAGAACAGTGGATGGGCAACAGCTATGTTGCATATGCTTCAGAGAAGACTTTCGATTGATGTGTTCATGGACAGTGATAAGTGGACACAAAGAAGTGGACTGCACTCTCACACTGTCTACTGTACGCTGATGCTGTGAGTGACAACTGATCCACTGGGCCAGGAGCAAGGTCAGAACAAACAAATTTCCAGCACCCAGACATCTAACTTCTTGGTGTTACTGGAGTCTTTAGGAAAAATTTTAAAGCTTTTGTTGGTTTTAAGGACTCTTTTATTCTCTAAACCTAAAAGGAACTCACATCATGCCAAAATAATATATATTTTAATATATTTAAGAAAGTAATATTAATTATCAACATATTCTTTTATGATTGTTACTGATTTTTTGATTTTT